CCTGTTTTTGGTGTCAAACACATGGTAATCTGTAGACAACGTACTGAAAAGTCCCTGTAATATGAAGATAATCAGATTTAAAGTGTTACAATCCATTCTACATGCCTGCTGAGGTACAACATAATTTCATTATGTTAACAGATAGCATTGATTACCTTAACATACTGCACAATAACAGATTTACTGTAACACTACATTTTCATTATATAGGTTTAAACTAATACAGGGCATTAATTACTGTATTGTGAACACAGAAGTTGTCTCTGCTGGATACAGTGTGTTGGATGACTAGTGGGGAAATACGGATCCTTCTCTGAATAATGATAACAATAATATCTGCGAGTACACAAACTTTTACTGTAAAGGAATAAATGAACTCTGTTAAAACTCTCTGTAAAACTTGTACAGATAACAAACATGGATCAGACCTAGATATCTGTCCATAAACATCACTTTCGTTAGTGTAGCCAGCAGAGTATATTTGCTTGGACACTTGGACAGGCAGTAATTAACCTGCATTTATGTCCATCCCACCGGCAGTCATGCAGTAATATCAAGTTGGGTGTCCCCTGAAATATGGACACTGTCACAGCATTGAGAGTCAGAGAAAGTTTTGTGTTTCTGATGGAGAAAATATATACATCAATTAACAATGGAATCGGAATGTCATTAACTTCAACCTTGAAGTCATCATATTTCAAGTTTTCAAAAAATAGTGGGGAATTTACGCATAAGTTACAGCCTAAGTGGTTACACCAGTTGTCCACATGGACAACAGATGGAAGAAATCCTGCTCATTTTCTCTGGTTTTTGAGTTTTCAGAAGAAAACAGTGCAGGGATGTCCATATTATTTGCTGTATTACTGTTCTCTTGTATTTAAGAGTATAGAATTAAACATGCAGTGAAACATGCTATGAGATTATGTCTGACAAATACTCGCAATATCAAGACCAGTTAGTCTTACTCCTATATTTGATGCTATTATCACTGCTCACAATATGCAAGCTTTGACTCACGCTAGAGGGTGAACATACAAAATGAAGGGTGAGAGGAAAAACAATATGCAAAGTCACGCAAATGTAGCATTTTTAGAGAGGGAGAGGCATGGAACAGTGTGGTGACAGGAAGAGCAAGAGTAAGAATATAATACAGAAAGCATCACCTGATACACCATTTGTGGTCCAGTGCCTTTTCTCGCTTCCCATATGGCTTAGAGGAGTAAAATGACAGCTCACAAGAATCATGCACTCTCTTCCAATTTTATTAACTGTGGTACAGATAATAAATACACTCACTCCTAGAAACTACAGCTTGCGCTATATATATATTGTACTTAGGCAGGGTAAAAAACTGAGCTCCACAAAGTCACCCTATTCACCGTCCTGAAAAACATTTCGGTCATTCTCCTCTATACTGAACTTTACTGTCAACTGTCTTGTATATATTTTCTTTTCACTTGCCTTAGTTCTATTCAAGATCGATCATTTCTGTCATTAATAGGGGAAACATGTTTATATTGTGAAAGGAATCCCTGACTGGTGACTGCTCTGACATACTTACCACACCGGAGTCATGATTATCACAAAGTGTGGCAGTAAATGCCCTTGAAGTTAAATTATGATCTATGTGTCATTTGCTGTGCAAGGACATCAGCAAAATGCAGGTGCACTGCCATGCAACGTTGATGAAGTATATTATACTTAGCCAAGAATGTAAAATACACGAGGACGGCAGTTGGGAAATACCAAAAAATGTATTTATTTTTTGGAACAATGACCCAAAATCTATGAACAATTCATTTTTTTCCCTAAAAACAAACACACATAGCGTTTAAACCTTAAAAAAAAAAATCAGCTGATATGTTCACTTTCCTATTTCACATGATAACGAAAACAAGTTTTATTTGAGCGCAAAATGCATTAAGATGCTATATCATTGTTTTTTTGGGTTTCAAACAAGCTGATTGATGGGAAACATGGAAACATTTTCATTATAATTTCTGTCCTTATATCCAACTATAGCTTAGAATGGTAGTGCACTTCACAAAGGAAACTGGAGAGCTTATAAAGACGTCGAACTGGCCTTACTTTATGGCAGTGTGAATAAATATGCCTATATATCCGTGTTCTATATTACATGGGAAGTGTATCTTGCCTTTTGCTATGTAGAAACATATTTAGATGCACAGTATGATTGTTGAAAATGGATGACCAAAAAAATATTAATGAACTTCCCATAAATAAAGATCACATGAATACATTTCTAGTTAAGAATCATGTTATACCACATCAGACACTAATAGCAACAAAAATTTAAAAAGATGCTGAGGAAGCTTTGCAACTGGTTTTCTTATTGTACAGGATAAAAAAAGAGTAAAAAATTATAAAATGCTAAAAAAGTGTTTCTAATTTTATTCTAGTATTTTACTGAAATAATCTGCCTGTCATTATCACGTTCCTTCTTACAAAAACATCTGGCCATTACACCCAGAGGAACAATGATTTAAATGAAACCTGAATTCAATGATTAAGAGGTGTGTCCCAATACTTTTGTCCATACAGTGCACTGTTTGATATCCTGTTCTTGAAAATCACAAACGAGACTGGAGACAAGACACACACTTGACTGGAGCCAACGCCACTCTAAATGGCTTCAAATTTAATGCCAAGGATGCAGACAACCAACTCCTTCTGCTTTTAGAGACTGATTGGCACACAGCAGCAGCCCTGGTGCCTCATGCAGCGCCTCACATAATATGTTTGGGGCATTTGGTGATGTGCCTGTGCCCAATCCAGAAAGCACATGTAGGCTGTGTTAGCATATTACATGTTAGCATATTACATGTTAGCATATTACATGAACCCTCACACAGCTGGTCAATCTGTTTCCTTCCTCCTGAATCAGGGGTTTCAACCACCCCTCTAGTACCCTGACATGGGCTTTGGTATAGAATGGCCAGAGAAGTGTGACTCCTCCATAGTTGGAATACACCCTCTGGTCAGAGGTGGGGACTCGAGTCATTGACTTGCAACTTGACTCGGACTCAAGTCACAAATTTGATGACTTGTGACTCGACTCAGCAAAACTGGTGGAAAGACTTGGACTTGACTTGGACCTTATAACTTGAGAAGATTTGAGGTTAAAGCCCCCCCTCTGGATATCATAATGTTAATTTTACAATTTCTGTGTATATTAATTCTCAGCTGTTTCAGCATATTTTCATTTGGCTGAATGCAAAGTCTCCTGAAATAGATTGTTGGAAAGATGCATCACTCCCTGCATAAACATGGACATAAAGACTATGTAAGGACAACCATGATAGAGTGGAGACTTTCAACCAATTTTTGTTTATGAAGGACTTAACCTACAACAAACTGTGGGTTTTTTCTGTGATAAATTTTAATCGTTAAAGGTAAAAAAAACTGACATAGGTAGGGACCTCACAACTCAACTCGGACTTGAGTCACAAATTTGATGACTTGTGACCAGACACCAAAAATGATGGAAAGACTTTGACTTGATTTGCACGTGACGAGACTTGACACAGACTTACAATGTTTTGACTCGAGACTTGACTTTGATGCACCAAGGTGTGACTTGTTCTTTTCCCTGCCTCTGATCCCCTTTTTTAAAACAGGGACCACCACTCTAGCTGGCTTTCATGCAACATTGATTATATTGCACATTAATTATATTACCCTAGCAATGCCAATTGCTTTCAACATCTGGATGGATTTCATTTATCACTGCAGCTTTTCCAGTATAGAACACCATAATGGTTTCAACTACAGTGATAGCGGACCACCCCAAAGGAGCAAGGCTCTGTCTCCCCTTCCTGATGGATCAAACGGTTTGCCAGAACATTGCTGGGGCTTCCTGATAGCCTCTTTCCATGGTCTCTCCAAACTCCTTCCATGTTTGAGAGTTCCCCCCTGTGACTGCCTTTTTAGAAGCCTTTCTGACCATCGGTATCTTTCAGCTGTCTCAGGAGACACCCATGCAAACATTGCCCTGAAGGCCTCCTTCTTCAGCTTGACAGCTTCCCTCACCGCAGGTGTCTAGCAGGGGTCCTAGCGTAACTGCCATAACAGGCTCCGATTGCCTCCTGGTCATAGTTCTTTGCAGCTGTTGCAGCGATTGAGGCTTTGAACATGGTCCATTCAAACTCAATGTCTCTGACTTCACTCGGCACATGGGAGAGGATTTTCCAGAAGTGTCAGCTGAACTCATCCCACGTAGAGGCTTCAGCCAGATGTTCCCAGCAAACCCTGACTGCTCAACTGGGGTTTCCCAGTCTATCACACCATTTCACTACCTGCTGAAACCAACCTACCATTAAGTGGTGATTGGTTAATAGCCCTGCCCAAAACACACAGCTTCAAGACAAATGACAAAACTATAAAGTTTATCACAGAACATCCTTGTGTTTGAACATGGGGCTTATTATGGACAACCCAGAGCTTCACAGAAATCTCATAACAATTCAACAGTCTAGCTTAAGTCCAGTATATTTTGGTGCATATGCACTAACCAAAATCCTTTTATCCTTTTAGCAACCTGCAGTGACATACAGGCCATGCCCTTTTCTACCAGAAAACTCTCAAGCTGCACAGGCCTCAGCCTGGAATTTCACAGCAGGAGAGACTCCACCCTGAATATCTTTCTGTCTCCCAAACTAGCTTGGGCTCCTTCTCCCACCAGAGAAACAATGTTTCACGTTCCCAAAACCAGTTTCCATTGCCAATGTCAAAGCCAACTGGGTCCCTCCTTCTAATGTTTGCTGCCCAACTGCCACTGCATCTGAGCTCCACCTTTCATATTACAGGCGGTGAGACCCCATAATCTCTCCACACAGCCATTTTTCTGAATGAGCTTGGGCAGGTTACGTTTATTTGAAGGTATTCAAGATGGGTGGAAATTTCCAAGAAAAGGTAACATTTGAAAGGGTCAATTTTTATCTGGTATTGCTATTATTATTATTATTAAGGGTGGCCATTACCTGGAAGCACCTCATAGATGTCGTCCTCCTCATCCTCATCATCCCCCATCCTGCTGCTCTTCCAGTCCTCCTGGCTGCTCGCAGAGTTTATGCTGGGATGCAGCACTGGACGTGCCGTCCCTTGGCTGTTAGTGGTTTCAATGTCATCATAGGTGTCTTCGACTTCACATTCTTCATCTTCCTCCTCATCATCAAACGGAATGAAGTTGGAACTCAAATCTGCAGATGGAGGAGAAAAAGTGCACGCAAGCGACTTTGTCACTGCTGTGAATCTACACCCTAATATTAGCCAATAGGAATCATAGGGAAACGGCGAAAAAGTGTTGACAGTCATTCAGTTAAATATTAGCCTGGTTTTGAATTTACAAACGTAAAAATTATAAAAACAAAACAAATAAAAAAAACATGAGCAGAACAGACTAACGACGTTTGAATGGCAGCGAGCCCTGATTTATGCTGCGGCTATGCTATCGGGGTTATGTGGCCTGATGAAAGGCAAAGTCTAAAACAGTCAGATGTCCTCAGGGCCATTATTATGACTAATACAAATAGCATGCCATGTAACAATACAAGGACAACATTATTATGCTTAGAAAATTATATGTGAGAACAGCATTATATCACAAAATACAGAAGCTACAGAAATGAACTGAAAAGTGCTTTTTTTACCCTTAAATTGTAAGAGTACTGAATTCTCCCAGTAAGTTTTTTTTTAAGCTGAACATTAGAAATAAAACAAAGGTTTCATTGTTGGTCCTTTCATTTTATACTTTGGATCCTGCCGGAAAAAAAAGATGCATGTTGCTTCTCGTAAATCAGCGAGCCAGTTAGAGCCCATATTGAAGCTGTAGCTGCAGTCATTGGATCCTGCAGATGGAGCATTGTGCTGATTGTGGGCGACTGGAGCACTGAAACAAAGGGTATCAGATCCCCTCTGATACCCTACTAAATCAATAACACACAAGGATAACCAGAAAACTTTCCAATCAATTTCCGGAAAATAGTGGGTGTGGGGTGGGGGTAGTGGGGAATGGGAGGGAGAGTGGAGACTCCACACTGGTCGGGCAGCTAGTGATGCAGCACATGAGGAGGGTTACAGAACATCTGATTGGATGGCGTGACACGGACTTCTCGTAATCTGAAAAGCACAGCCCCTTTTTACCTTGTGATGGAAACTTATTAGATGAGGATGGGAATACTGCGGATTTTTAAAAATAAAGTACGAAAATAACACCAAGAAAACTTAAATTTGCAAACGGGAAACTCAACCACATTAAGGGCTTCCTCAAACAATAAAATATGAATTATTATTGTACAATTCTCTGATAATATATGTGCAATACAAATATCATCTCCCTCTAGATATACATTATATCTTTATTACCGGAATTAATCGCTGTACTGTTACACACACAAAGACACACAATGCTCATAAAGCAAGAAAGAAATGTTAAAAAAGCAAATTACGGCTTTACCACATACAAAGACATTTTCAGCTCACGGAAAACACATTAAATATAAATGCGCCTAAGTATAGTACATTTCCTAAGTCCAAATTTTCAGTATTTCTTCAGGATTGGTGCAAAATTAAATGTGTTTCTGGCTCACCTTTCAAGACAAAGTTAATCTGGTCCACCCACTCCCTGGCTTCCTGGTGGCTGTTGGCTGTGAACTGCAGGGGAAAAACCCTCCATTACTGTTATCAATTCCATCATTCTCAAAACAAGGAGCTGAGCTACAGAATGACTGTTACTGCCCATATAAAGCATATTTTACTTTAATTTCCACCTTAATACAGTTAATATTCTCTGATAAGAATACGCAGGGAAAAAAAATCATGGGTGCCAAGTACAATAAAACAAGGTGAAATATCACGTAATAAATCAGCAAGATCAGCAATTCACTTCTTAATAAGAATATGTTCTGCTGTAGCCAACATTAGCTGCCAACACGACTTCAAATTAAAGCTGAGAAAGCTAATTACAACATAATGCCAGGGTGTCCCTAGCAGTAATGCTGGCCACTCTTAAACAAAGATAATTAATGTCCTACTGATATAATTATGTATATATAAAACTGTTGAATATACAAATAACAGTTGAACCAATGTGCATTTTGAATATAAAATTGACTGTAATATTGTCTATAAAAGTGAGTCAATCTTAATCTCTTTGTTGGTGCCACAGTTATCTATAACACTGGGATGCAAATATTCAATTAGGAAAGCAATAATATATTAAATGAAACACTTACTACATTTAACACATCTGAATCTTTCACCTAGAATATGCATGTCATACAACATCTGATCGGTTGTGCTGAACTAAATTAAATTTGAGCTAAAAATATGATTTATGCCGCCTTTGGTCCTAGGAAACATGCTTCCCACAGTACACTCAGATTGGCCAGTATTTTAATTATGTGCGGATTTCTGTAAGGGCTCTGCAGGATAATGACGTGCATATGAAGTGCAGAAAATGGTGAGCTTTGGTATAGACCTGGTATGGGCGCTGGTCCGGGGCTCTCAGAACAAAGCACGCATTTTTCTTTGAGTCTTTCCGCAAGTTGGTGACCAGCTCTGCACTGTAGCCATTGATGTAGAAGGAGCCCTTTTGCTGTTTCTCTGGTGGAAGAGAATGTCAACTTTGCTTTTTGTTTTTTTACTCATGCTCATTCATTAGCTTACAGACTTTTATAGCACTGATATTGTATGTGGCTTAATTACCTAACAGTAAAAATTACACATTTTTCTACAAGTGTTTGTGTAGGATTTGTTTAGGTGAAGGTAATTTCTCCGGGAAACCACAGGTTTTATACTAACTATTTAGCGGAATGAAGGTGATAAGTATCGTATTATATTTTAATACCTTAAAAAGTTTGTGCGTATATGTTGTGATATTCTTTCAGTGTATTACACTGGATTGCGATTTTCCTGAAATTCAAAGTTAGGTGTGAAGTAAGTATGTGCTGACTATAAATAAATAAAATACTTCATAAAAATTAGATAGTGATACGCAAAATATAAACTTGGAAAACTTTGATGTTGCAACTAAACAAATGATTATAAATATCTGCAAAAGGAAAGACATGCAAACAAACCTTTGTCACTGCCGAAGTAGTAAAATATGGTATTATTGAGGACACACCAACGCCTTTGCCACTCTGACCCAAAGAAACTGTGATCTGAACACAACAGGAACTGATGTTAGTACATTAAACATTAAGACATTCAAACTGAAAATGCAGTACAAGACAAAAATCATACCCTATCGAAAAACAAAACACAGCAAATATTTACAATGAGTGTGTACAAATGTAGAAAACAAAAATAGCCTTTTGTTTACCAGCTTAAAAAGACTGTAAATGAAAAAACAAATAAAAATGAAGCCACAAAAACCACGGAAACCCATCTGTGCTTAATGCCAATAAATGTTAAAATGGAGAACTCCATTCAACTGGTTTATTTCAGCACCTGCTTCTTTTATTCCTGTAAATTGACCTAAAATGCTGTTTGAAAGGGGTGTTTTTATGCTTGCAGGTAAGCTTGGTTCAGATTCAGCTGCTCAGGTGACGCTTTTCTCCGAAAGACCTGGGGCATGTTGTAGTTATTGCAGGTGGGCTTTTCTGTCGGACATTATAGGAAGCAACCACATGTGTTTAACCCCTGCATTACCTGCTGCCTTACATGGAAACTCCTGCTTAAAACATGGAACGGCTACTACGAAGGTACTGACCAAAGTGCCATCTCTATTCAATAGGAAACACAGCGCTGGTAGAATTCAGTAGCCCGCTAAGAAAATTACTTTGCACATGGAGTCAAACAATTAATCTCAAGATAAAATGTTTCCTATTCCTGTTGCAAGAGCGGAACATGAATTAAATGGCAAGTGGATGTGATATTAACAGTGAAAACAGGATAAACAACTAAACAAATAGAGTGGAAACATTGATGACAATTCTTCTCATAAAGAACGTTTTTACAAGGTGGGTGTAATTATCTCTTTGATTGCAACAAAGGCATGCATAAAGCTTCAAGTAATGAACCTAGCGGCATTCAAATACAGATTCTGCTCTCAGTCTACTTGGCATTTCTGACAAACACTCAATACACTCACCTACACCTGCCTAAGATCATAAAGGCAAGATGATGCCCCACTAGTGAGTGAAGCTTACATTTAAACAGTATCTCCACGACTGAAAAACATCCATTCATTGACAAAAGTGGAAAAACTCGACATAAACATGACATTATGGCAAATGGCATGACATTGTACATTATTTTACCTATAAAAGGGTAAATTATTATGCTATTTTGTCAGAACTTGCTTATATGCTGATTTATACCAATTAATGATGATGTCAAACTGCTAAACAATTATACATAATTAATTTGAATAAATGAAGCTTATTTCCTACTACTACTAATACTAATAATAATAATAATAATAATAATGCAACTTTTAGGTTTGTTTTCATGACAATAATACCATACTTGCTTCCTACTAATAAAATGTAACAGTGTACTCTCATTCTGAATACTTAATGACATTTCTCTGCCTTGAGGTTTTTGTCGTTAACTTGAAATATGCGCAGCACGTATTGTATGGTTAATTATTCATTAGCTTGTTATGTCTTCCCAAAAGCAATGATGTGGTAAATAATAAACTACTGTACGAGAGGCTAGTCATAACATTAGGAGGGCTATTACTACATATGCTTTTTTAAAAATGGGCCTTAAAGTTATCAGCATTTTTAGATGATCACTTCATATTTTATCCACTAGCATGCTGTCACACTTACGTTGCGTTCCTAACAGCATCGGCCCCCGAATGACTATAGTAGCAGAAATACACTAGTTCAGCAAACAGATCGATTTTGTTTCATTATCAGGTATCTGAATAACAGGAAAGAACCTTTAAGTGCTGGGGCCCTGAAAAGCACAGCTCTGCTGTCTGCAGTCCACATTTGATGGAGAAGTTTGGTGGTACAGGCCAGGCCAATGAGGCAGCAGAGGATAGAGGTGAGGGAGCGCCTACGGGATAGATACTCATGGAGCAGGAGCAGCAGATCTGCAGAAACTTAGATCAGCCAGAAAGAACTCTGCCTCCTAAACAGGGTCTGATGCAATCTGCTCTTTCCAGACTGCATGTGTTTAAATCCAGTGAATGAATGCTTAAATCCAGTGAATGAATGCTTAAATCCAGTGAATGAATGCTTAAATCCAGTGAATGAATGCTTAACTCCAATGATGAACAACAGGAAAATATGATAGACTTCTCTGGGGAAACAAACCTCACACAAAGTAATTGCATTACATTATAGGACTTATAGGATTTTTGTTTCAGATATGTGTTATATGTGATAAAGAATAATGCATGTAAATGAGCATAACAATCGGAGTTCATTAGCCTATATATACTGTAAGTTTACCCATTATTGTGCACAACAAACATCTGCCAATGTGTAGTTCCGAATCAAAGGAGGGCCTTGGTTTAGTAGCACAGATTAATTTAAAGTAGCTTTAACTCGAAATGATTTATATAGTATAAGAACTTATAGAGAAGAATAATAGAAAATAAACAGTCAAGTGCAGAGCATGGAAAATCTGCCAGTAAAAGCAAGAAAAAAATTCAAGAAATAAAAGATTTTCTTACCTCTTCGCTTCTTCTCCAAATACCCTTGTTTCAATATGTTATTGAGTTCCTGGGCAGCGACCATAGGGATCTCTTCGAAGTCTATAAAAGACAGCTCAATATTACTGTAGGATCATTACAGTCAGCTATTCAGACTTTAGAACTCATGTCCCTTCAGGCCTGTGAAAGTTTGCTAAAGTAATTAAAGTAATTATCTTATTCCTCCACATTGTTTACATTGTACTTATTTTATTATGCAAAAGAAATCAAGTTCAGTGTTTTGCAAAGTCCAAAAATGGCTTCCTTGAACAACGATAAGTTTACCCAGCATATGTGTGATTTTCTGTGTTCTGTACTCTGGTATTACTGTACTGTCAAGGGCACAGTGGGTGCACAAGGCATTGCTCAGCGATAACCCTGAAGACATCCCTGTCCACCACAGAACTGAATTACAGTGCACTGCTTTCTGCCTGTCTCTCGCAAGCCACAAACACATAAAATGGACAAATCAGAAGGAAGGACCCTCAAAACTAATTTACCGGATTGTTCCGCACTGCATCTATCCCGTTTCAGCATGAATATTCCATTAGCTAAATCCCCTCGAGTTGTGGGAAGCCTGCTGCTGGGAAACAGGGAGACTGTTCTGCATGGAGTTTTATTTAGATGTTACACTGCCAAGGCCCACCGGGGCGTTCAGGGATGGAGCCGACAGCCTTCATCAGTATGCATGCTGGAATGAAATTACCCCAGGGAGGAAGGCCGGCTAAATATGCCACACATGCTGCTTCACTGGTTTAATTTCATTGTTTCATTGCTTTCAAGAACATTACCAGCTTGAGGGATAACGTTTTTTTTTTTTCTTTCAGGGACTGCACAAAGGCAGAGACACACAGGCAGACAATTTGGGTGCAGATACATTTAAAGTACCAGATTCTAATTTTATACGTTTTTCTTTTACTACAATGACAGTAGACAGTAGATTATATGCAACTAAGCATGAACGATTATTTGCTGTACCTTCTGGAAAAACTGTCACACTGGCCGAAAATTATCATGGGAATAATGGCGATGAGTAAACTCGATATGGGTGCAATGCATGGATTTATGAGGGCGGCCAATCAATACAGACCATACGTCCCATAAGCAGTTTCGCCCCTCCCCTTTCCTTGAAATATCTCACCATGCTTGTGACATGGCCTACGCAGGCGCCATAGTCTAGGTGTAGGATTCTGATTGTACTCACATAGCAACACTCTTACTGAAACAGCCAGCCTGAAATGCTGCATCACACATTTCTGTCGCAGTCAGTGTGGCTAATGTAAGATCAAAGCAATATGGATTTGGACTGAAAGCACATGACTGGGTGTGGATCCTCGAATGAGGTCCATTCTCTCACTAATAAATAAATTTCTTTATATGGTATGTTTTAATCAATCACAATAAATATGCCTAACAGCTGGTGGACCCACATAACACAACAGAGTCATCCATAAGGACATCACATGCAGTCTGTGTCTATATACAGTAACAGGAAAAGTTTATACCAATATTGTGACAAAACATTAAATTATCACACTTAATGTGCTGCTGCTACAATAAAAATCGCAAGTTTTTTAAACTCAAAAGTAGAGGAATTTACTTGCATGAACCAAACATTTAAAAGAAAATTTATGAATTCAACTTTGTGTATATATCATTTAGTCATAATTCAGATTTTATTTGTGTTACATAAAAAAGACACAAGAAATTATTTTAAATTGACTGCCATCTCAAAATTACAATATGCAGTGAAAGGTATAAGTGTTCCAGTTTATTTGTACGCAAAATCACAGCTAATGCTTGTTGTCAAACATGAAACATGCAGCAGATCTATAGAACTACAGGTGCATATAAAATGCAGATGGTCACTATGTTTTTATTTTGCTACAGAATTTCTTGAATTTGGAAATGCGACAAAAGTTTAGATGGGAAACTAACTCAGCCCGATTAGCAGTGGTTTCTCAGCAAACAGTCGGCTCAGGAAAGTCAGTGAATACTTAGGAAGTGAGCCGCAAGCCTCCGCTGACTGTGCAAATCCAACTGGAAGGCTGNCCTGTTATGTCTAGATTGTCTTTGGTATTTAGTCCTCGTCTGAGTCAGTCTTCCCCAGATCTGTCATTGTATTGTCTTGGTGTTCGTGCCTGTCAGCCATCCCAGTACCATTAAACCCTGTTTGTCCGAAGTCACGGCTCCGCTTGCCTGCTTTCCTGCTCGCCTGCCTCACAGCCATGACACAGGCACCCTGTCTTCTGGGGCTGTGATGAACGGCAATTTTCGTGTTTAGAGGAGGAGAGAGCAGAACACCAGCACCAGCCCTCTTGACAGAAGGTGGCCAGTCACTAGCTAAAAGGCCATTATTCCCGGTACGCTGTCACCAGCATCTACTGGTAGGAGATGGACTGTGGTCTGTGTAACGGCTGGACAGACCACCAGTTAAATATCAGTTACTAGTGATATAATGATACTATTGTTCATGGATTATTATGTCAAGTAATGTAGTTATCTTAAATTAATTATCACTTTCTCAACCTTTCAAATTCAATTATTTAATATAACTGTGGTACTTATGGTATTTAATGTAAAGTAGAATCTATTTTCTTAACAAATACCCTACTTTATTAATTGTTGTTTGTAATTGCTACTCAAGGCTAAACACAGGTCTCTATTATGGAAATTTAATTCAGAGCAACAGCACACAGACAATAAGTTCAGCAAAAATAATTTGTTATACCCTTAGTTTAGCAGGCAGGGTCTCTGCTTCATGCTGAATAAGCATTTATATAATTTGAACAACCTTATTAAAAATTCACAGTCAACCAACCTAACTTGAGGTTATGTCTCTGTCTGTATCACACAAATGAGTATGAGCATTTAATTACTCACTTAAAATATAACAAAATCAGAGATTGTTTCAAAATGACAAATAATTAAACAATCGTTTAACAGCAGGTTTAGCTGCAGTCAGTCCTCTGTCTGCCACTTCAACAGCAAGCTAAGAAAACAATCTTATTAACCTGATTCCCCCGCGTCTCTCTTTTACATTATGTTTAGAGGACACTGTTTTTGCTACTTCTTACTTTCTTTAGAATGCTTCTGAATTACAGATAATATTTTCTTGAGCTTAAAATTCCAGAACATTTTGCAGAGTCTTTAGAATTTCTCTACAGCTGATTAAATGACATTTTTACCTGGCTTGGACAGCTTCTCTGCAAACTCCACGCCCATGCGTACAGTGCAGGCTATGGTAATAGATACAGTACCCTTCCTCTGTACTGAACACTCTCCTACACCGTTTGAACATAAACATAAAGACTTGAGTAATAAAATGGCTGATGAATCCCTTGTTCCACTTGGCGTGTGGACAGTAGGTTATTTAATAAAACCAACAGCACCTTGTTCCTTGTATTCCTCCCTAATGGTCTGAAATCTATCAATGGCCTAATGGCTTGCTGCACTGAGCTAGCTTAAACGCTGTTTGCGGCTAGTAAATGCACCTATTAATGTGGAGAGGTATTTTAATTGAAAATTATATTACTGCTCAATTGGACAACTGGTAAATGCCACGACACCCACACAATATAGTACAAAGGAAAATTTTGAATAATGAAATACTAATTAGGATTTTTCTCTACATTTTCTTGGTCACTATATCATGTTTTCACGGGATGAGGGCACTGTCCATTTTCTTTGGCTGCAGAAATGTCACAAAACACTAAGCACTGCACCAACCATCAATGTTGCAATGGTGTGGTACAGACTAAAACTAATTAAATTTAATTGTGCGCAAGCAAAAATATATAAATACAGTGTGAAGAATGCTACTGTGGTCCTGGGGGCATAGGAACCGGGACAAGGGGGTGGGGCATAGGAATGGGGGGGTGGGGACATTCCCCCCCCCCCCCAAGCAAATAATTAAGCTTAATTTGCCACCCCCCCCCCCAAAAAATAGACCTTTATACTTAAATTATTAAGTTGTGTCCCCCCCCCACCAATATCAAACTCTTTTCTATGGCATTGTGTGGTACAGAAAGTACCATTTTAATAATTCAATTATATAAGTCACAATCGACTGAAAAAACAAAGCTATATGGATTCAGCTCCATCCCGGAGCATGTCTCTAAAATTAAGACACATATTAAATTTTTGTCATCTCAAAAACATTGCTGGTACTGACGTTGAAGGTTACATATCGCCTCAGCAGACCCTGTCAGTGCGCATACAGTGACAGAGTGGCTTGTCTTGTCATACCTGTCTCAGTATTTACAGTTGCCCACCAAACATCCTGGAAAAATTGTTGACACTGAACATGTTTTACAAATAAGCAGATGTGAGTGCACAAGAAAAAGATAAGAATTCTAATTAAGGAAGGGATGATTAATTATTCTGCTCACTATCACGTTTTAATATAATTCTGACCACCAGATATGCAGATACCCATATGGCCGCTATCACTCATTCAGTCAGCGCTTGCCTGTTTGATGAGAATTATGTTCACAATGAATGTTTAAACCATGTTTTAATACAAAACGTGTAAACATATATGATGTAAACATAGAGACACAGATTATAAATTACAGACAGCATAAAATACACTACCCTTTTGAGTTAATTTTTTTCCTATAAATGCAAAATACTGGATTGGCTCCAGCTTCCCCGTGACCCAGATGGATAAAGCGGTATAGATGATGGATGGATGGATGGATGGATGGTTTTAACACAATATTTTGAGAAGTATGCACCCCAACTCCCATGTCTCGAACATGTTTATTCCCTACAGGATCTTCTGCACCATTAGATTTAGAAAGCTCTTGCCCATTCTAGGGTGGCTTGGAAGCTGAGAGGATCGCACTCTTGCTTCACACCTCCAGTGTTGAGGACCCCAGGCTTGCCTCTGCTGTGTGTGTTGCACAGGTTTACCCCATGAACAATCCTGTGTCTGTTGCACAGGTTTACCCCATGTACAATCCTGTGTGTGTTGCACAGGTTTACACACAATCCTGTGTGTGTGCATGTATGTGGCCTGTGATGGACCGGTATCCTGTCCAGGGCGTTCTGAAGCCTTG